ACAGGCTCTCATCACTGGTACGAAATTTTTCAAACCACCACTGTGCTGTGCGTTGATTCATCATACCTAGATCTAAGACATCGTTGATATCCCGGTCCGTTTCCGTCGCACTCCTGCCCAATTTGGATTGGAAAAGAAAAATCATGCGGATCTGTCGTTTGTCCATGCTGATTTCGACCTTCTAAAAAACCCCAGGCATCACTCCAGGGCAAAACCGATTATATATTTGGATAGAGCAAGAAATGCGCTTCAAAATGGTATAAAACCTGCAAAAAATCTAATAGCAAATAACATCGCGGCGAGCATTTGAAAATTAAGCGTCAAAAACCGCAAAAACTTTCTTCACGACCTAATACATACATATACCAGCTGGATGCAGAAAGCATATTGACCCAGCAAAGCAGAAACAGGAAGTGAATCCATGTGCGTATCTGAGTATATCGGCGACTTTTGGTAGGTGATCTACTCTCTATCTGCCACCTGAGACCGCCCTACGTAGCCTCGTTGGTAACCAGTTAGGGATCGTCAACGAGAGAGAAGCTTCAGTTAAGGAGATGTGTAGAAAACAATGAATAAACATGATATAGCCAGGAATGGCCGCTTGGACCAGTCTTACATTGGTTATACAGCAGTCACTCAATGACAGTGGCTGCTCTGCTTGTTCCTGTCTTCACTATCAAGATTGCAATGCAAAGTTAGTAATGTGAACACTGCAGCTTAGTTGCCACGACAATTTGGTGGGCGAAGATGAGTAAACTGTACACAGCCTTTCTAGACTTTTCAATACTTCGATCCAAGACAATACTACTATTTATGCGGCTGCAAACACGCTTATATTATTCGCGGAACAAAAGTTTCAATCCAGCTACCCGAATGACTCTCCAAAACAGCTTTGTTGTCTGAAAATGAAAACTGACTCTCAACGCTTGCTTCACTCCTCCGTTGTCAGCGATGTTCTCTCCTTGAGTCAGCCTACCATTCACCTTCAGGCCAGTGCCTGGCACCTTGAAGCAGTTCTCGTTCAAAGTCAGTGATTATTCAACTTAATTGCTCACGATAGACCTCAATCATCCCGTATTGGTCGACGATACATCGGGCTCGCTCTATAAATTTCATCTTCACATCTGCGTCCATCCAGTCGCGAAGATTACCAACTGCATCGAACTGCTGACCTGAATACCACGGTAGTGGAACAATCATTTTCTATAGTCAATCACCGAAAAAATCTGAATGTCAAATATTGCACCAAGAGTATTTTAAATTTGTACAGATGCTTCAACCATCTCACAATGGAGGAGTGACTTTCGCAACGACCTCCTCAAAGAAGAATACTCGTGGGCTCAGATAAAGTGGGTAGACGACAATCGCGCTGTTAACAATAGGATCTTCCAACAAGAAAGTGGGCATCGAAAAGGACATTCGGAGGTAGAGGAAGCTTTTTGAGAAGGGTTGTATGCGCGTTGCAAGGGTGTAAATAAAGGATTCAAGGATATTATAGCAAGGATACGCAACAGCTCATTGCTTACAGATCAACCCATTCACCGATCAAGGCTGAGTCAATAATTTGAGAGGAGGGATAGGCGGGGGAGAGTGATGACGAATTCTCTACATGACTTGCTTGATTTTCTTATACACTGGATGTAGCGGAATTTCAACCAGGACTCGTTTCCGGACACTACATGTTGTAGCAACTCCATTCCAAAATGATTTACATCTACCTTCATCCGCGTCCGCACCTACATCTGAGACCTGTATAAACCGATGTCCACCCGATCGTTGATTCACTCGAGAGGGGCCAGTACCGAAGTAAATCAGTGGACATCTTCAGCTCGTAGGAGAAGGGGCATGCGCTCGGAAGCCTTACGTAGGGGGCTGCTCTGTTGATCATACTATAATACATTTCAAGGTATCCAATCAGTAGTCGCCCAAGTCTAGCGGCTATCACAAGTTGCATGACCTGCCCAACCCACCTGATCTTCGATTCCTTAATGTGAGCACCGGCGTCTACAATTCCCGTCCTCTCGAAACCTAGACTACTCTCTGCAGTTGCTTAAATAAGGCAACTCTGAACACTATCTTTCACACTGACCATGGAATGATGATGACTAGATGCACGTCCTGTTTGCGTTCAAATGACATTTCAAAGGTGCAAGCTCAAGCATAAAAGCTTGCTGCAGTGGAACATGGATGAGGCTTCCAATTATACTCCGTAGTGGTGAAAGTCGAAACACTAATCGTAAGAAGAAAAGGAAAGAAGTGGTGAAGATAAAACAATCGATACGTGAACCATTTTGCCTACTAGCTACAAGTACCACACGCAAGTGCAGGTCCATTTCTCATTGATATCGTCTTTTGAAGTTCAATTCAAGCCGATCCTTTCATAAGTATTATCAAAAGCAGCCAGCATCCGTTACTCTTACTTGATGAGCGTTATAAGCAAGAAGTGGCCTGTAAAACCAATATGATTTAAGGCATAGTTCACGATAAGAACGGTTTCCCAATTTTCCTTTTAGGGATACCCAGTGGGCCTCCGAGAGTAACCGGAAGGACGCTGTCAGGGCCTAAAATTCAACAGCTAAGGCACAGTGGTAGCCCTGTTACCGGGTCACCCAAATGCCCCCCCCCCCCTCCTCTCGGCAGCTCACGTCAGTCAGACGAGTGTCGAGGCGCTACAGATTGCAGTATTCGTTCTAAGACCCACACACAATCAGCTAATCGCCGAGTGAAGAGGCGATGCTTTTCCTATTCGTGCTGCAATCTTATTTAACCTTTTATCCCAAGAGGCGGAAAAAGGTGGCCTTTTTTTTGTTGTTACTAGGGTTTTTTGTTGTTTATGCTTATGAGTGAATGAATTCTAAAGGGAGCTCTTGCTTACTGTGGTTAGCTATCCGTACCAGGACCCACACGTACGCGAACGACACACACATTTTATAGCCCGTCCAGACGGCTCACTCTTCTTCATTTTTCTGATCTCATTCTTGTCCAGCCCTCTTTTCAACGATTATTTCAAAGCCTTCTATCCAGATTAGGGAACCTGTCGTTTGGGGCGTATTCAAGCACTAGGCGTCAGATTGCATAGAAGAATGAAACACTGTCTTTGTAAGTCTTCAACACAGCGCCTGGAGAGGAATTTTTTGACTTAGCCTAGGAATGAAAGGTCTTAGTGGTGGCAAAGAACAGAATTGATTTAAGCTGGGAAATGAGAAGGTGAAGATTCTGCTCACCACCAGCATCGAGTGACTACAGTCACTCGATGCTGGTGGTGAGCAGAATCTTCACCTTCTCATTTCTTCGGAATTCAATGCAAATGGAAGCTCAAGCCGAAAATCTCTACACAAACCTGAGAGACCTCGACCACCTTCATATCATTTCAACTTTTCTGGATGATTCGAAGCTCTTTTCTCCTCATCTCACTCAATTCGAAGCTCCCTTCTCCTTACCTTAGTTAAAAAACCGGTGGCTACCGATCTATGTGCTTTGACGCATTGTGTCGGTTACGCTAACAAGGAAGGTCTTTCAGGGCGTGGGACGCTTTTTGAAAATGGTTTTTTGCATGGGATAGGGGCATGAGCACTGAGTATAGAACTATGGTCCATTTCTGCTAAATGGCCTTCTGAATGCCAAAAAAGGGTGAAAATAATTTTGTCGAAAATTTCCATTTNTCGAAGCTCTTTTCTCCTCATCTCACTCAATTCGAAGCTCCGTTCTCCTTACCTTAGTTAAAAAACCAGTGGCTACCGATCTATGTGCTTTGACGCATTGTGTCGGTTACGCTAACAAGGAAGGTCTTTCAGGGCGTGGGACGCTTTTTGAAAATGGTTTTCTGCATGGGATAGGGGCATGAGCACTGAGTATAGAACTATGGTCCATTTCTGCTAAATGGCCTTCTGAATGCCAAAAAAGGGTGAAAATAATTTTGTCGAAAATTTCCATTTTAACCCACTAAAGGTCGTTTGTTTCGTTCATGGCGTCGACTGTCCCCACAGTAGAGAGGGCCAGCAGAGGCGACATTGAAAATAACGTGAACGGTAGCCAAAAAAGGGAGCCACATGTTGAAACATGTTGAAACGTGTGGGAAAGTTTCATATGTGCTCTCCACGGGTGATCTGCTAGCAGCGACGGATGGTCTACTGGATAGAGACGTGGACTTCGAGTCGGACGGCTGGGCTGGGTTGGTGGTTCGGGTTTTCTGGGTGCTGCCGTTTTTGCATTTTATGCTGCCACTTTCAGATTGCCTCCATATTGCTCCAGGACCAAAGCAAGTGTCTGACTGGTCATGGTTGTGACCAAGACCAACAATAACCTTTACAAGCCACTAGAATGATACGGTAGTCGCCACGAAGTAAAAAGAGTGAATTTCTAGTTGAAGGGTACGGTAGTTGCCACGGAAATAATGCTGCTCGACGTGTGAATTTGAGTAGTAGTAGAAGTACCACCACCAGTTATGGAACATCAGGGATGACCACGGTGTAGTGGGGTTCCCGAACGGGTTATAAGCGGCGATCATAGGGACGACCTGCCTTCTCCCAATTTTTCAGGTGGTCGGATTTGGATAGTTGGCTCCCAAACTGATGAATCTTGAAAGATCTTCTTTTTTGGTGTACCACTCTGTATCAAACACGCCTGTCTTACTCGCGATCCACGAGAATCGACGTTGCGACTCTGTGCTGGTGAGCGGCTGTCGCCACCGTTGGTGTATTGGCATTCTTCTTAAAGTGCCGATTGTAGCCCTGTTCATCGGCATGCTCGTTAGGAGCGCAATGACCGACACACGTCGAATCAATCGTATTTTCCGCCATTGTCACAAGGGTCTTCAACGGACATGAAGAGCACAGTGAACTCAGCTTTTGCGATTGCCTTCCTTCTGAAGTCACCGAATTTGGGCGATTGATCACGTTATGGCGACGTGGGGACCCATATCATTCATTAGCTGTTACGTGGGTAGGCCAGGTAGCAGTTCCTTGGTGCCCCACAAGCACAGCCTGACTCCACTTATGTCATAGCCCGTTCACATTGCAGAATGGCTGCGTTGCTGTATCACTTACAGGCGAATCGGAATGATAAGCTCGTGATTTTTTATATCCCAACTTTTATTTCATTATCGTTGGTAAAAATGGTTTCCGCGGTGTGATTGTAATCTTGAGTAGGTTAAGCTTGTATGAGGTTACATGAAGGTGGTGGTCATGGGGAGGGATAAGCTAGAGAGAATGGAGTGAGCGGGCACAGGGCGCACGTATAAATGCTGAACAATGGATTACCCCGAAATTCGTCGATCTTATGAATCCCTCCATGAATACGACCCCTCCTTTCCTAAAGAAACCGTATACAAACCCTTCACGCGGATTCTACTTCCGCCCTAACCAACCATGAACCCATAATCACGCGTTTCCATGCTGACACATTCTTGATCAATGCCCTTTTTTACTGTAACGAATCCTCTCGCACTTGCGGACATACACATGGAGTCAATCTGGAGGTAGCAGCATAAAATGCAAAAACGGCGGCGCCCAGGAAACACATATGAACCATCAACCCGCCTAGCCGCCCAATTCGAAGTCCACATCGCTACCCAGTACACCATCCGTCGCTGCCAGCAGCTCACCTGTGGAGAGCACATGAAACTTTCCCGCACTTTCCAACATTAGGCTATCTTTTTGGCTACCGTTCACGTTATTTTCAATGTCGCCTCCACTGGCCCCCTCTAGTGTGCGCACAGTCGACGCCATGAATGAAACAAACGACGCTTAGTGGGTTTAAATGGAAATTTTTGACAAAATAATTTTCACCCTTTTTTTGGCATTCAGAAGGCCATTTAGCGGAAATGGACCATAGTTCTATACTCAGTGCTCATGCCCCCATCCCATGCAAAGAACATTTTCAAAAAGCGTCCCACACCCTGAAAGACCTTCCTTGTAAGGGTGCTCTATACCAATCCCCCTAACTACACTTTACCCGAGCTCTCAAAGAATGCTTACTTATTGAGTGGCACGCCGTCGCCATTCAATCTTTCGATTGCTGCTCTTCCACGATAAGATCGAAAGCGATCTTCAAATTGAATTACGTTCAACATAACAGAATCCTTTACTTCGCTGAACATCCCTGAATGTTACAATGATGTGAGTAGGGTCAGTGGTACTGTACCAACTGAGAGGCCTCGCTTGCTCGCATGACCCTCCCGGTGTTCTATCAATCCTGCTGAGGACGACTAGTGTAGAGGATTTTAGGACTGCGATAAGCAAAAAATGGGGCGATAGTCGTTAATATCATATACAGCTCTCCTTTGGCTGCTTTTATAGTCCGCCGGCTTGCTGGCGTGCCGGCGTGCTGGCGTGCTGGCGTGCCGGCGTGCTGGCGTGCCGGCGTGCTGGCGTGCCGGCGTGCTGGCGTACCGGCGTGACGAGGCAGTGCTAGGGGGAGGAGGGAAGCAGACGGTTGGTCGGTCAGCATCTTCGGAGGGCCAAAAGCAAAGACGAACAAGATCAATAACCAAACAACCAGGGGCTTGCGCACTAAGGTTCCCACGATCATTGACAGGGGGCGCATCAGATGCTTCTTTGAACTTATCGGACCGAACGTGACATCATCGACATGTCAAACATGTGCAAGAAGAACCGAAGGAACGAATTACTGTCTGAAATGTTAGGTAGGCAGAAAGGCAGTTGTCGATGAGAATTGAGTGAGAGTCGTGACTGTCTCCCCCCTCCCCAACACGGAAAAGGAAGGAGAAAATCAACAAAATAGGATCCAGGATTGCGCTTAGAAGGTAAGTTAATGGAGACACGGAAAGCAGAAGGAACAGTGAGTCAGGAAGGCACCTGGCAGAAAATATATGAAAGAAAATCTATGAAACTTTGGTTAGAGCAAGCCAAAAATAAAGAGGAGCTCTTGCAAACTCCTAGCAAGCAGCTAACAGACATGTTTAAGTGGACTAATAGGTCTTGACTATCAAAATGCTGCTGAACGTGGAGACTTAAGAACACTGTTCCGCATTATTAACGAGTTGATAGGGAGTATCTATCAATATACCTATCAAAGACAGTAAATACGAACATCTTTTGAGCCCTGATGAACAGAATAAAAGGTGGCTTGTACATTTTTGAAATGTGATTGACCAGCCAAGCCACAGAGTACTTGCCCCATAGATGTGATGTGGCCTATCAATGAGCTTGATGTCAACAGTGGCAGTATAACCCTACAAAAGATAGGAATAGCCCCTGGTCTAAATGAAATTCCAGCAGGATCATGAAAGCATTTGACAGCACGATAAGGAAGAGGTTCGCATAGTCGCACATTCATGACCGGAATGGCGTCACTTACACCCTATCTTAGGCATTGAAGACATCGGAAAACCATTTCAAAAATTCTTGTCATGAGCTGAGAGCGCTTCTTCGGTGGATCGCTGTATCTTCAAAGGATTTTCAATTTTCTACCTTTATAACGAATTAAATTTGCAACCAACAAGTTGTTTGAAAAATCAGAAAACATCACCTTGGTCGTCAAATCCATGAGTAATTTCGTGCCCAATCACAGCTCCGATTCCACCATAATTAAGCGCTCTGAAATTTTCCGAACAGTCGACTCGAATGAGTTTCACCACTTTCACCGATGCAGGCCTTTTTATTTGTTTTGAAGTGTTAGTCTGCTCGAAGCTAACCTTGGAAACGTATGATGAAAGAAAGGTGGCTGCAGAATAGCAGCTAGAATTTCTGAAAAACGACTGCATCAAGAAACACGTCCGAGAAGATTCAGTTCAAGAAAAAAAAACACTACATTAGAAGCAAAATCCTACGTATTGTGTTGAATTGGAAAGCATGATATGCATGGACCTCTGCGGGGTTAAAATCATACTCATTTCGATCAACGGGTTCGGTAAGACGTTTGTAGTAAAATTCTATTTCCCATCGCCATAGTTTTTCAATCATCTTACTGTACGAATCGGTTTCATCCACAGAAAGCTATAAGCAAAATATTAAAATCTGTTTGTAGAAGGGTTAGCAAAGTGATGATGAAAAAAATTGTATGTGGCTTTTGCCAACTTTGTTTCCGCTTTTCCTTGCCGTATTTTTTCTTTTTTCCATGGCAACAATGCTCGCTGACTGGACCTAAGTGCTAACCTTCGATATGGGCTGATGAATATGCGTGTGATTGTCGATACATATGTGATTCAAAGAGAGTCACTAATGAATGAAAGAGTTCAAGACTTGAGTTTAGCGGTATAATTGACAAATATGCTGTTCAGAAGAAGTTGAGTATGGACTTGGTAGAAAAGGTACACCTACTTCCAAGGAAGCACTCTATTAGATAGCGTTTTTGATGACAAATGGAAGTCCCGCAAGCAGGAAGGGATGCTTGAGTGGCGAGGAAGGTAGGCTAAGACGTTCTCATGGGAGGAACGCACATCAGCGGAGGAGTAATAAGCAATAGGTTGTAGTTTCTGAAAAGGTGATTTACTCTCGCCCCTTTCTAAGGACCTACTTGTGCTTCCAAGCGCAACGAGAAAGTACTTTCAAGTTTAAAGGTTACCAGACATACATTTCTAGAAATTTGATAGCTGTCGCACTTGGTCGATCGCAGAGTACTTTAACCCACTTATTGGGGCGGTCTATCATAACGTGGATTTAGGGATTTATTAGGCTAAAACTATCAAGCCTAATACTCCTGCCTGCAAGTTCACTCAGATGGAACCTAATACTCCTGCCTGCAAATTCACTCAGATGGAATAAAATCCGCTTGGAAAGACAAAAGCCCTGACTCATAATCGGATGGTAACCTCAAGTAACCGCCTAGGCCGATATTGTTACGAATAGAAGCCGAATGCGGGGCACATCTTCAAAACGAGTTTGGCAGACGCCATAGTTTTTACTCTTGACCTTTGACGTCAATATCTCACGAGACATCATCACTCACTCCTTCGTAGAAACTGTCCAGTTTCTTGCTGTCGAGAATGAAATCCGGGTAAGCGACATGTTTTAGCATCCGATTTGCCTTTTCAGAAGCGGCCTGGAAGAGTATATGCACTGCCTGTCTTCTTCTTTTGAGCACCTGGGAGTGTGAACTTAGACATTACGTTTTTAGTAGAATTGTCCATCCAATCATTTTCGACAAGCATTTCATTGAACGCCTCAATCAAATCATCCACCATGTCCAGCGTTATATTTTTCGAAGCCTGTAACTACAAATAAGTGAAGGTGCAGCTTAGCTCTGTGATGCCAAGCCTCTTCAACTACTCACCTTGTCGTACACTTTGCTAACGTAGATGGCTCCGGTAGCATACTGCATTCTCTTCATTGTAGAGGACGTGCAAACCTTCCATCTAGGGACTTTCTGCTTTCTTCCATACATTGAGAGGTGAAATTTCTTCAATTGGAATGGAAAAAACAGAACAATTTTCTGTGCACGTCTTGTAAAATTAGGAAAATGGTATAAAGTGAAGGACGCTGCAGAATCCTTATTTAAAGGCACAGGTCAGGACAATTTTGGGGGTATCCGGTATTTCAGAGATAGTGGTAGGTAAGGCCTACACTAAGACAATCGTAAAGCCTAAAACGCTAAAAACAGCAAGAAAAAGGAAGCAAACGGCCGAAAAAAAAGAGGAAAGAGTGGCAAGACGAGTTTCATAACGGGGAAACGGTGGTTAAGTGAAATTTCGCGGAAGTACGGGAATGCGACGCCATGTGTGCAATGGCACACAAAACACCCAACCAGCTGATTTAAACTACATACTTGAATCTATTTATTCCCCTGCTGATATTTTGCTGTACTTTTATGATTATTCAGTTGTTCTGCACAGAAAGGTGAGTAAATTCCCTTATATTGATTAGTTTACGATTAAATGTACCTAAGTTTTCATATAGTGCGTTGTTTTATTAAGTGCATGCTAGGATTCCAATTTTTTTTTATTTGCAATGGATTTTCTTCATTTGGGGTCATTTGGGACGACAGGCAGAGAATATTTAGAATATATTAGCGCAGAATAATAGCAGAATACTAGGAATAACAGCCGAATACTAGCTTCTGTACGAGGCGGTCGACCAGCTGACCATTCCTGGCAATTTGCCAATCAGCGTATCGATTTTCCACCAACTTCGCTCCAGTGCGAAAGCGGTGAAAGAAAATTCGAACGCGTAG